TACTTAAAAAGGAGACTGTTTCCTTCCTATCCACTGTAAAAACTGTTTTGAGCCGTTGTTTTTTGCTATGAATTTTTTACTACAATCAAACATTGTTATTTTTTTTCTGACGATGAAGAACAAGACAAATTAGACGAAAAGGTTCCAAAAAATCTGATGACTACATTCACAATGCTTTTTCTAGCAAAACGCTGGTCTCATGCTTTATTCATACAAATAAAGCAAAAAAATTTGACTTCTGTTCGCGTTTCTCTGATTTTATTTTTGCATCCACTCAAATATGCTAGAAAATTAAGACTTTTTTTATGCCAATGCAGGCCCGTGAAATCTCTAGTTTGGCAGCCTCTTGAAGCACTTTCAGTCGGGGTTTGATTTCCAAACTGAAAAAGTACACTGGGTTTTCCAAAAAAACTGACTTAAAGAGGTTTCACTTTATTATGTTTTCAAGCTATTCATGCCACAGATCCTACATTTTTTCTTTAAAAAAATGAAATTTCTTCTAAATCTGAGTTTGCATTTAAATCAAAACAGTTTCAAAGATTTGTTATGTTGAAGGGTTTCGAATTTTGCAAAAGAAGAATATTACTGATATTTTTAATGCATTGATGACTAGGCGGCTCATTAATCCAGATCAGAAGTTAAACTAACTCGAAATGAGGCAAGCAATTTGCAGTTATTGTTATCTAGCTCGACATAAAAATACCTTTTTAAAGTTAAAAAATATCAAATATTTTGAAATTGGTGTCGATTTAGTCTCAACAATATTCCTACTTAGTAACGACCGTCGGATGATTCAATTTGTGCCCTGACAACAGCAGTCTCATTCTCTTCAGGAAGCATAATCTCAAAATGAAATAGTTATCAAAAACTACCGAGTTAGAAAAGTTTTTACCTTCATCACGTTTCTTGATTCTTAATGTTCTTTTTCTAATTTCAGTTTTTATAGCAGTCAGCAGTACTTGTAAATTTTCACAGCACTTTTATTTAAAAAAAGTTTGAGTGCAACAGGTAAACATGAAAATTGTTGTAAAACTTGAATGCCGATCTTAGAAAATTAATATACCATTGGAGAAACGATTAAAAGGGCTGACCAAAACTTCTTATCAAACAATTTCTACAAGTACGAAAAAAAACGTGCAATATCTATGATCAACGTTTCTCCATACATAGAATAGCATTTTTTCCAATAATCAAAAAGGTTCCTTTTTGGTTTCCATTTTCTTGTTAGTACTTAAGCCCACGGTCCATTATTGTTTTAAATTGGCAAACCCGAAAATTAAAAAGCAATCATCAGTTGTATAGATTTTGTTATAGACATTTTAGCAACATAAATTTGAAGTAAAATATTTCAGTAGAAGAAAAAAAGATAACAAAATTAAAATTACTTTTTTTGTTTTTAACTTATTCGAGCCCAAAAAAACTCTAATCAATCAGTTTCAAAATTTTGATTTAAAGTTCAGCGTAAATCAAGGTCAGTTTCATTTTCAGAAGGTTCTCGCAAGGTCACTAACATTTTAGGGTGCAGGTAAACTATGCTTAAACTCGCACAATGAGCTAAAACACACCTATGATTTTTTTTGGAAAGGATGAGTTTTTTTCTTTAATGAATGAGGACAGGTTGCATATAGGAGTTATCGAAATTATCTTAAATTCATAAGAGTTTATTGAAATCACCCTCAAAAACACTACGACTAAAGTATCCGTTGCGTTCTCTTTCATCTTTAAATTAGCTCTTGGTTAAAAAAAAAGGATTGAAAATTCGTTTTAACTAAATTATTATATCAAACCCATTACGCGGCCAAACTGTGCATTTTGTGCACTGTAAGCCGATTCCGCAACAAGGACGCTCCCTTTGTTCTTCTTTTGTTGTTTCCTTCTCTTTGATCGTTCCGACAAAGTTTTAACATCTTTAAACACTTGTCTCTGGATTCCAGGAACATACAGACACAAAATTGTGCTCCTCTCTAGTGCACAGTTTGGCCTCGTAATGTTGAAAAGAAAGTTTTATGAAGAATTCGCAAAGATCAAAGAAACTTAAGGAAAATTTTTTTGAGTTAGTTTCGCATGAAAACAAAACACGCAGTGAGTTTCCATTGATAATAAGCGAATAAAATCGATTTTTTGTTGTCAATTGATTTTAACTACATTGCAGGACCTTACAATCAATTAAAATCCATCGTAACCCAATTATTAGAATTGAAAAACCGATTAAATTCCATTTGTTATCCATTATAATGGATTATATTGGATAACAATCTCTTTAAAATTTTTCTGCAGCTTTTTTTGCATTACTCACAGCCTGCACAATGTCTCACCTTCCAACCCACCTACCCACAACACGTACGCCGCCCTGCATACACTCACCCCACATAAGTCCCCCACCCAATTTTTTGCTGAAGCCAGATGTAAAATACGATCCATAGACATTTGTGTCCCAGACATTTGTGTCTTTGACAAAACAGTCCGAAATTATAAAATTGTACCAGACATTTATGTCACAGACAAAACAGTCCGAAATTATAAAACTGTACCAGATATTTAGGTCCCAGACAAAATTGTCCGAAAATGTATTGCATAATTAATTTTTTTTTTATTTGACCTTGTGAACTTTAATGCTTTCTTCTTTTGAGGTTGTTTGATCTCTCTTTAATTAGATTCTATGCGTACCAATAAGACATAGAACAGTAAAAGTGAGACAAAGTTTCAAGAAAAATTTGAATGTTAAAAGCGCGTTTGGCCGAGCTATGAAGTCATTAGCTTCAAGCTCAAAAGGTCTGAAGTTCAAATCTCGGCTCCGACAAAAAATTTTCTTAATTTGGTCAAAACTTGAAATTGAAAAACCCAAAATGATAGATAGAAAAACTTAATTGCATTGATCATTCTGCCGTTTTTAAAACGGTTCTGGCTCAATTTTGAAAATTTCTGGGAAAAAGTTCAAATTAGAAAAATTTATTGGAAATTATTGCTTCGCAAACTCAAATTTGGAAATTAAATTGACTTTGAATTATAATTTGATGTTGCTGTTGCACCTTTTTAGGAAACTCAGAAATTTACTTGGGTCGTAGGCCGCAACTATTTCGGAAAAGTTTTGTCAAGTTCGACATAAAGAAGTTTTTTTATAACGTGACACTTTTTTGCCCCTCACACATTTTTTCGATCAAGAATTCAGCATTTTTCTGTTCGTCCTGACATTTTTTATGCGTTTAGGAAACGATGGGTGGTTGCTGTTTACGAGTTTAACGAAATTGCTATGCCAACCTCTAGCTGTCAACGTCGAATCTGGGATTTTGGCGATTTCCACTTGCCGCCGTGAGTCGATCAACGTAATTGTCCTCAGAGTAATTGAAGATTGGGTGGGTTGTCTCAGGGCATGTCTGAAGAGTTTCAAAAGCAGTAGAAACATCACTTACTGGAAGGAAAGCGATACTCAGCAGCATTCGGACATGCTCGCGGAACTCTAGATCTAGTTTGTAGTTGTTTGTATTCCCAGTAGACTGATTGTGACGCCAGACGCTTAGGCTCAAATGGAAGTAGAAGTATTGTGTTTTTACGTTTTTGAATTTTAAGCTGCACACATTTTTGACCGCTATTTCGAAAACAATCATGGTCCGTTTGGGAAACCCAATGTCAAAGCAGCTCAAAAGGCGAATATATGTTTCTTTTTTCTTGTCTGGAAGCAAGGCATACACAATGGGAATCCGAATTCCCTCGACTGATGCGTGGATGGTGTATATCTGAAAAAAA